AGCCTCGTGTATTTACTAGCCTAGTGCACTCCCCTAGTCTCGTGTGTTTACTAGCCTTGTGCACTCCCCTAGCCTCATGCATTTACTAGCCTAGTGCACTCTCCTAGCCTCGTGTGTTTACTAGCCAAGTGCACTCCCCTAGCCTCGTGTATTTACTAGCCTAGTGCACTCCCCTAGCCTCGTGTGTTTACTAGCCTAGTGCACTCCCTAGCCTCGTGTGTTTACTAGCCAAGTGCACTCCCCTAGCCTCGTGTATTTACTAGCCTAGTGCACTCCCCTAGCCTCGTGTGTTTACTAGCCTAGTGCACTCCCCTAGCCTTATGTGTTTAGCCGAGTGCACTTACGTAGCCTCGTGGACCTTATCGTTTCTATTCTTAAATCTGATGAATCTGCCTCCACTAGTTCTCGCAGGACATTCCACTTTCTGGCGACTGAGTCTATTGAGGTGTTTCCTGATATTCCTCTGGTTCATTTTAAATCTTTAACGTTCAACTGTGCACTATTTTGTTTTCAAGTTCCCACCTCTCGAACAGGTTTTCCAGTCGACTCCAATACTGAACATATTTTGCATATATCTTTGCCTCTCTGTATCTTCAGTTAAGCCAGGGGCTTCGGCTGTTCTCCTCGTTGCCTCTTCTTGTTTTGGGTATGAATTCCTCCACTGTTTTACAGCTAGGCACTCCATCATCTCATTCCTTATCTTACCTTGCAGTTCTCTTTCCCAACGTATTACACTCAGGAAGTCTCTCATCCTTATATAGTCTTCTATAGTTTGGTTTTCCTCTGCTGTGCTCCCCTCCAGGTTTTAGTCTTAAAGGTAACTCAACCTCAGGATTTTATGGTTACTAGCACCTAGTATAATCCCCCTATGTGAGATGCACATGAAGTGAAAACCAGGTTTAGTCTAACTGGTTCGTCACCTCATTTCTTTCTTGTGCCCCTGACATGCCAGGGCATAGTTTTCCATCATCACCACCTTCATCATTTTACCCTCCCCGTGTCTAGTCCTCCACGTAATTCCCAATTCTCCCAATCAATTTCTTTAGGTTAAAATTTTCCATGACTGGCACCTTTGTTATGGTTATATTGTCTTCCCTTGCTGCTGCTGCTATAGTGTTAAACATTGTTCTATTGTTATCTTCAGATCCCCTATCTCAGGCTTCTTTTGTTTTGTGGTGGGTAAGCAGTTAACAAACTGGAAGAAATATCAGGTGAAATGATGCTTCGGGGAAGACTTTCGACGTGATATTAGTACCTTGATCTTACTATCTCCCTTTAGTACACCAACTTGAGAGGAAAAACTTCAGAAGAGCACGGACAATGGTTGCAAATTACTGCTACTTCTAGATTTGGTACCTCAGTCGTGACTGTGCACAGGTAATCACTGGGCTTCCCTCTTTATCTTTCTCATCTCCTAAAATTTTACCTTCACTGGTTAATTGTTACTCCTTTTTTCCTCGGTGTTTTTATTATCATCACAGAAGTTTCTTGTTTAGTGCGGTATTATCATATTCACATTAACACTGCATTCACTGGAGAGTGCTAACCCACAGGGGTCATACAGCGCCTGGGAATGGGTGGCAATCAAGTTCGATCCAAAACCATACCCCCGGCCGGGATTGAACCCGCGGTCATAGTCTCAAAACTCCAGCCCGTCGCGTTAGCCACTAGACCAGCTAGCCACAGCCAGCTGGTCACAGAGGTGCCTGTGCTAACTTTCCTATGGTGTAGAAATATACCTAGTTGGATGAATCTTATTGGCTAGCTGGTCTAGTGGCTAACGCGACGGGCTGGAGTTTTGAGACTCTATGACCGCGGGTTCAATCCCGGCCGGGGGTATGGTTTATTTGCAATCGTGTCATTACGATTTCTTGAGTCAAGTTCGATCCAAGTAAAGGAAGGATACGTTAAATTCTTTAGATCAAGAGCCCCTTACAGACATCAAGGCACTTCTCTTAGGGGGATCATATTCACAACCATGTAATGGACCCTCGTGAGCCACACTCAGTACTTGACACACTGCTGCCAATACTATATGCGGCATTATCTCATTTAATTTAATCTCCATGAAAGTTATAATGACTGGTGTTGCGTCGCCTTATGTGTGATATTCCACCTACATTCATAAATCATATTTGGAGTTCCCATATTTTATTTTATTTTTATTTGTAATGCCCTGGTTCATTACCGTTTTTTCACGGATTAGACGAGAAAGGATGCATTTGTATTTGTCAAGTGGACTGGGAAAGTTAGGGTAGGAGTAGTTGAGATTAAAGATGGATTTTTTTTACTGGATAGTGATGATGGAGGCTTGTGACTGGGGCTTGTCCAGTGAGGTTAAGGCAGAAGCTTGTGACTGGGGCTTGTCCAGTGAGGTTAAGGCAGAAGCTTGTGACTGGGGCTTGTCCAGTGAGGTTAAGGCAGAAGCTTGCGACTTTGGGGTTGTCCAGTGAGGTTAAGGCAAAGCTTGCGACTGGGGGTTGCCGTGAGGTTAAGGCAGAAGCTTGTGACTGGGGCTTGTCCAGTGAGGTTAAGGCAGAAGCTTGTGACTGGGGCTTGTCCAGTGAGGTCAAGGCATGGGGTCTAGTTATCAGCAGGAGTTGGCTCACTGGTAGGTGTTCCAAAGGTGTGTATCCTTGGAGAGTTAATAGTGTTACTGCAGAAAGGAAGGAAGGGAGAGGGGATAACATGGCTGTTCTAAGATTATTGTTTGTATGAGAGGAAAGTGAGCATTTAATGAAGGGTTTATGGGTTTCAATTTCTTCTTTCACCCACCCCTGGTTCTGTTGGTGTTCCATATTATTATGTGTCCGCTCTCATTTACTGTCCTGGTTCAGGGATACATAGCTATAAAGTGTCGTTCACCTGAATTTCATATTTTGCCGAAAAATCTTCTCTTGATGCTTGTGATGCAAGAACACGTTTTTCTGACCGACATTTGCTTCAGTACTACCCTGTTAAGCCTCTGGAAATTTGTCGCTAGTCTTATTTTCTCTTCTCCAGTACTCCCAACCTCCTTCTCTACAATCAGGAATAGCTTCAAGCTTCCGTAAAGCCGTTTTGTCTATGGGGGGGAGAGAAGAGAGAGAGAGGGGGAGAGGGGAGAGGGGGATGAGAGAGAGAGAAGAGAGAGAGGAGAGAGAAAAGAGAGAGAGAGAGAGAGAGAGAAGAGAGAGAGAGAGAGATACACCAGTATACTGACTAATAAGTAAACATATGTCATACAGAAACATAATCACAGAAATACTACCAAATTCGTCACTGACTTATAAGTATATATTACATAAGGGTAATTTAGTGTAACATACAAGGTTAAAGTGTGTTAAGTGAGAATATTATTACTATATTACTGAGAACATGATATTACCAGCAATATTATATATAAATATTATACTCGAGAAAGCACTAAACCCGTTGGGGTAATTCAGCACCCAGTGAATGGGAGGTAATCAGGTTTGATCCAAGGGTAGAGCATCTTTAATTCTTTGGATCAAGAGCCTTTTACCCTTCACCAAGGTACAAACTGTACATAGCATTATTCGCCGTTGTACTAAGACAGTTACGGAAACTTAATTAACCTGAGATATTTAACTCAGGAGTGAAACTGTCTATGTAGTACTCATGTTATCAAACTCGCGGGGAAGCGCTAAACGCGGTAGGGGGGTAATACAACACCTGGGGAATGGCAGGTTTAATTCAAGGAAGAGGTTGTTGCAGCTCCTTGATTCAAGGCTCCTTCACTAACATCAACTCACCGATCTTAACAGAGCTGTGAATGACAGGTGTTATGACAAGTGTATTATGACACAGCCCTCCAGAGCTGTGGCACAGAACCAAGGGCTGTGACACAGGCATGGAGGGCTGTGATACGAGACTGAAGGCTGTGACACGGGCCTGGAGGGCTGTGACACGGGACTAGGGGACTGATAAGACTGACAAGTTCGTCCATCAGACGAACCACATACAGGTGAGCACACATACACACACCTCACTAACACACACACACACACACACCTCACTAACACACACACACCTCACTAACACACACACACCTCACTAACACACACACACACACACACCACACACACACACACACACACACACACACTTACACACAACACACACATACACACACACACACACACACACACACACACACAACACACAACACAACACACACACCCCACACACACACCACACACACACACACACACACACACACACAACACAGACACACACACACACCACACACACACACACACACACACACACCTCACAACACAACACAAAACCTCACTAACACACACACACCTCACTAACACACCCCACACACACACACACACACACACACACACACACACACAAAACCCCACACACACACACACACACAAACACACACACACACACACACCACACACACCCCAACACACAGACACACACCCCACACACACAACACACACACACACACCACACACACAACACACACCACACAACACACAGACACACACACACACAACACACCACACACACACACACACACACACAAACCCCACACACACACCACACACACACACACACACACACACACAGTCCTCAGTATCTTATGTTAATGATCAAGTAAAAAAAATATTAAGTGATAATTCCTTCACAAAATTACGAAACATTTTCCTGCTGGTTTTAGAGAAATATAAGCTTGTAAATTGTCAATTTTTGATAATTAATTGGATATAATTTTCTGTTAATAATTTTCCTCACTGTTGTGTTATGGCGGGGCAGCTGGAGCATCATGGCACCAGCTCTTAGCTAAGGTGGCACTGCACTAACTCTCTCACAGGTAAACTGCTGGCACCTTGGCACTAATAATACTGGCACTGGCGCACCTCGAGGTCAAGCCAGCCTTGCTGCCACTTATATCCCCTCTAGTGAAGGTAAGATCATTGGCAGGTTAATGGAACACGGTAACACTCAGAGCAGTGACACAGGTGCGGTGACCCCCATACCGGCGAGGCAGTGACACACACCCACTCTCCACCACAGTCACTCCCACACTGGTGGAGAAACTTCCTCTCCACCAGGATAACATCATACTGTACCGCCAGCTGCCAACACACTGCCATATTCCCTTCTAAACCCGAATATTTACACTTATTTACACCACTTTATTACTGACCCCACATCCATAACATCATTGGCTTTACTTAACGTAAAAAGGGATGTAAATAACATATCTGAATTAGGTGTAAATACTGAGGAAATATTATTGGTAAGTAAAAATTGGGAGACGGCAGCATTAAAGACGCCGGCGCGCGCGCATCAGTCGTCAGGACGCACTGTTGTGTTTACTTTCCTGTACTTCCAGCATCATGTACCTCCAGCATCATGTACCTCCAGTATCATGTACCTCCAGCATCACGTACCTCCAGAATCATGTGCCTCCAGCATCACGTACCTCCAGCATCATGTACCTCCAGCATCACGTACCTCCAGCATCATGTACCTCCAGCATCGTGCACCTCCAGCATCATGTACCTCCAGCATCATGTACCTCCAGCATCACGTACCTCCAGCATCATGTACCTCCAGCATCATGTACCTCCAGAATCATGTACCTCCAGCATCACGTACCTCCAGCATCATGTACCTCCAGCATCATGTACCTCCAGCATCACGTACCTCCAGCATCACGTACCTCCAGCATCACGTACCTCCAGCATCATGTACCTCCAGCATCACGTACCTCCAGCATCATGTACCTCCAGCATCACGTACCTCCAGCATCATGTACCTCCAGCATCACGTACCTCCAGCATCATTCACCTCCAGCATCACGCACCTCTAGCATCATGTACCTCCAGCATCACGTACCTCCAGCATCATGTACCTCCAGCATCACGTACCTCCAGCATCACGTACCTCTAGCATCGGTGCCTCCAGCATCACGCACCTCCAGCATCATGTACCTCCAGCATCACGTACTTCCAGCATCATGTGCCTCCAGCATTATGCACCTCCAGCATCATGCACCTCCGATAGATTTCGAAAAAGCCATTGACAACATGCCTATGCACTCAGCCCCGGGCCCAGACTCGTGGAACTCTGTTTTCATTAAGAACTGCAAGAAACCCCTCTCGCGTGCCCTAAGTACACTATGGAGGAGGAGCTTGGACATGGGTGAAATTCCACAGTCACTTAAAACAACGGATATAGCCCCACTCCATAAAGGTGGCAGCAAAGCATTAGCTAAGAACTATAGACCAATAGCTCTGACGTCCCACATCATAAAAATCTTTGAAAGAGTGCTAAGAAGCAGGATTGCAAATCACCTGGATTCCCAAAATCTGCACAATCCAGGGCAACATGGGTTCAGGGCAGGTCGCTCCTGCCTCTCACAACTACTGGATCACTATGACATGGCCTTGGATGCACTGGAAGAAAATCAGAATGCAGATGTAATATATACACAGACTTTGCAAAAGCATTTGACAAATGCGATCATGGTGTAATAGCCCATAAAAATACGTGCTAAAGGAATAACTGGGAAAGTGGGGAGATGGATCTTCAACTTCCTAACAAATCGAACACAAAGAGTAGTGGTCAACAGAGTTAAATCGGAGGCTGCCATAGTGAAGAGCTCTGTTCCACAAGGCACAGTACTCGCCCCCATCTTATTCCTTATCCTCATATCAGACATAAACAGAGATATACACCACAGCACCGTATCATCCTTTGCGGATGATACTAGGATCTGCATGAGGCTGTCATCTGCTGAGGACGCTGTTAACCTCCAAGAAGATATAAACAAAGTTTTCCAGTGGGCAACGGTAAACAATATGATGTTCAATGAGGACAAATTCCAAATACTCCGTTATGGAAAACTGGAGGAGATAATAACTAGAAACAGAGTATACTACTGACTCCGGCCATACAATAGAGCGGAAAAATAATGTAAGGGACCTGGGAGTAGTAATGTCTGAGGATCTCGCTTTCAAGGATCACAACAGTGCCACGATCGCACGTGCAAAGAAAATGATAGGATGGATAATGAGAACTTTCAAAACGAGAGATGCCAAGCCCATGATGATCCTTTTCAAATCACTTGTTCTCTCTAGGCTGGAATACTGCTGTACATTAATATCTCCATTCAAAGCAGGTGAAATCGCAGATCTAGAGAGTGTACAGAGATCCTTTACTGCACGTATAAGTTCTGTCAAGCACCTTAACTACTGGGAACGCTTGGAAGCACTTGACTTGTACTCGTTGGAACGCAGGAGGGAGAGATATATCATAATCTACACTTGGAAAATCTTGGAAGGAATGGTCCCAAATCTGCACACAGAAATCACTCCCTACGAAAGTAAAAGATTGGGCAGGCGATGCAAAATGCCCCCAATAAAAAGTAGGGGCGCCATTGGTACACTATGAGAAAACACCATAAGTGTCCGGGGCCCAAAACTGTTCAACAGCTTCCCATCAAGCATTAGGGGAATTGCCAATAAACCCCTGGCTGCCTTCAAGAGAGAGCCGGACAGATACCTAAAGTCAGTGCCGGATCAGCCGGGCTGTGGCTCGTACGTTGGACTGCGTGCGGCCAGCAGTAACAGCCTAGTTGATCAGGCCCTGATCCATCGGGAGGCCTGGTCATGGACCGGGCCGCGGGGGCGTTGATCCCCGGAATAACCTCCAGGTAACCTCCAGGTAATCCAGCATCACGTACCTCCAGCATCACGCACCTCCAGCATCATGCACCTCCCGCATCATGCACCTCCAGCATCATGCACCTCCAGCATCACGCACCTCCAGCATCATGCACCTCCAGCATCACGCACCTCCAGCATCATGCACCTCCAGCATCACGCACCTTCAGCATCATGCACCTCCAGCATCATGTACCTCCAGTATCATGTACCTCCAGCATCATGCACCTCTAGCAACATGTACCTCCAGCATCATGTACCTCCAGCATCACGTACCTCCAGCATCATGTACCTCCAGCATCACGTACCTCCAGCATCATGTACCTCCAGCATCATGTACCTCCAACATCACGTACCTCCAGCATCATGTACTTCCAGCATCACGCACCTCCAGCATCATGTACCTCCAGCATCACGTACCTCCAGCATCATGTACTTCCAGCATCACGCACCTCTAGCATCATGTACCTCTAGCATCATGCACCTCTAGTATCATGTACTTCCAGCATCACGCACCTCTAGCATCATGTACTTCCAGCATCACGTACCTCTAGCATCATGTACTTCCAGCATCACGCACCTCTAGCATCATGTACCTCCAGCATCACGTACCTCTAGCATCACGCACCTCTAGCATCATGTACCTCTAGCATCATGCACCTCTAGTATCATGTACCTCCAGCATCACGTACCTCTAGCATCATGTACCTCCAGCATCATGCACCTCTAGCATCATGTACCTCCAGCATCATGTACCTCCAGCATCACGCACCTCTAGCATCATGTACCTCCAGCATCATGTACCTCCAGCATCACGCACCTCTAGCATCATGTACCTCTAGCATCATGCACCTCTAGTATCATGTACCTCCAGCATTACGTACCTCTAGCATCATGTACCTCCAGCATCATGCACCTCTAGCATCATGTACCTCCAGCATCATGTACCTCCAGCATCACGCACCTCTAGCATCATGTACCTCCAGAATCACGCACCTCTAGCATCATGTACCTCTAGCATCATGTACCTCCAGCATCACGCACGTCTAGCATCATGTACCTCTAGCATCACGCACCTCTAGCATCATGTACCTCCAGCATCATGTACCTCCAGCATCACGCACCTCTAGCATCATGTACCTCTAGCATCATGTACCTCTAGCATCATGTACCTCCAGCATCACGCACCTCTAGCATCATGTACCTCCAGCATCACGCACCTCTAGCATCATGTACCTCCAGCATCATGTACCTCCAGCATCATGTACCTCCAGCATCACGCACCTCTAGCATCATGTACCTCCAGCATCACGCACCTCTAGCATCATGTACCTCTACCATCATGTACCTCCAGCATCATGTACCTCCAGCATCATGTACCTCCAGCATCATGCACCTCTAGCTTCATGTACCTCTAGCATCATGTACCTCCAGCATCACGCACCTCCAGCATCATGTACCTCTAGCATCATGTACCTCCAGCATCACGCACCTCTAGCATCATGTACCTCCAGCATCATGCACCTCCAGCATCACGCACCTCTAGCATCATGTACCTCCAACATCATGTACCTCCAGCATCATGTACCTGCAGCATCACGCACCTCTAGCATCATGTACCTCTAGCATCATGTACCTCCAGCATCATGTACCTCCAGCATCACGCACCTCTAGCATCATGTACCTCCAGCATCACGCACCTCTAGCATCATGTACCTCTAGCATCATGTACCTCCAGCATCATGTACCTCTAGCATCATGTACCTCCAGCATCACGCACCTCTAGCATCATGTACCTCTAGCATCATGTACCTCCAGCATCACGCACCTCTAGCATCATGCACCTCCAGCATCATGCACCTCCAGCATCATGCACCTCCAGCATCACGCACCTCTAGCATCACGCACCTCTAGCATCATGTACCTCCAGCATCACGCACCTCTAGCATCATGCACCTCCAGCATCATGCACCTCCAGCATCACGCACCTCTAGCATCATGTACCTCCAGCATCACGCACCTCTAGCATCACGCACCTCTAGCATCATGTACCTCCAGCATCACGCACCTCTAGCATCATGCACCTCCAGCATCATGCACCTCCAGCATCATGCACCTCCAGCATCACGCACCTCTAGCATCACGCACCTCCAGCATCATATACCTCCAGCATCACGCACCTCTAGCATCATGTACCTCCAGGATGACGCACCTCTAGCATCATGCACCTCCAGCATCATGCACCTCCAGCATCATGCACCTCCAGCATCACGCACCTCTAGCATCACGCACCTCCAGCATCATGTACCTCCAGCATCACGCACCTCTAGCATCATGTACCTCCAGCATCATGTACCTCTAGCATCACGCACCT